ATTTCCAGAAGGTGACAAGAGAGTGGGAGAAAGCACTCCCTATTGACACGTGGCCACACTGCAACTCCTGCTTCTCCATCCTGTCAGATTGGGCATGTAGGTGTGTTTTTCCAGTTTTTAAGACCAGATTTGAACCCCAGCCATGCGAGGTCCAGCTCCCTTAACCACAAGGCCACGGGGCCAACCTCCCCCACCTCCCTTTTTCTTGGACACAGGATCTTGCTATGTTTCCCAGGCTGATCTGGAATTAGGACTTTGATCCTCCTGCCTCGGCCTCAGGTAGCGGGGATAGTGGGCACGGGCTGCCGTGCGCAGCTCCAAGCCAGTACTCCTACGGCACTTCTGTGTGCAGCACTGTGCTCAGCGCTAACATATGTGGCCTCGTTGCGTCCTTAGCAAACCTGTGCAGCAAAGCGCCGTTGTTATGTCCATTTTTAAAGAAGTGGCATCTGAGGTTCAGAGAGGTTCGTTTGCTTGCTCAAAGCTATGTAACTTCTTTTTTCTTCTTTTTTTTGAGAAGTTTTTGCTATAGGGCACGTGCGTTCACCAGACAGACAGATAGAAAGTGAGAAATCACCCCCCAGGGGGGGATGGCCACACCACAGTCCCTTCTCCATTCTCCTCTCGGGATCTTGGGCACGCACGCACACGCGCCCAGCGTGAGTTTAAGCCACCAGGTCTGGGACTCGAACCACGGTCGACTACCTGAGAGTCCAGTGACATAGCCATTACGCCAATTGCTGATCCCAACTTCTTTTTTTTTTTTAAAGAATTGTTTACCTAATTTTATTTACTCATTTGTTTTAACTTGACCTGAGAGACACGGAGAGGGAGAGAGAGAAAGTGAGAAAGCAAGCCACCAGGTTCGGGACTCGAACCAAACCATGGTTGGCCATGTGGCAGTGTCTAGTGCCTTAGCCACCATGTCACTTGCTGATCCTGGCTGTAACTTTTTTTTTTTTTAAACCATGAATCAAGTTTCCCCAAAAGGAGAGTTTTATTGATGACTTTATTCCCTCACAAATAGACCAACCGTCATCAAATGAGGTGGACGTTCCCCTCAAGGTTTTGTCGTCTTCGTGATAGAGAAGATGAGGCGTAGACCTGGCTCCGTTGGACCTTGCTCTCCTCACACCCGTTCAGAGTGCGTGGACCTCTTCCTAGCCAGCGTCCTCTCCGAGCTGCAGCTGGGCTCCGCACACTCAAGCCTCAGCGCGATCTTCTTTGTACTTTTTGCCTTTTTCCGGAAAATAGGCTTCGTCTGTCCACCACAGCTGCTCTGCTTCCTGTCGTAACGCCGCCGTCCCTGAGCACACAGAGCATCCTTGCTTTTTAGTACTGCATCACTTTAGGAGGCGGGTGCTTGCCACACTTCTTACAGAAGGTCCAGCGGGTGTTAGGGACGTTCCCCATGATCATGGGCGTGCTATCTGCACAGAAGGAGCCTGGCTATATAACTTCCAAGAGCGCCTAGGTAGAAACTCACGTTGTCCTTTTATGAGATAGGGACTATGTGCGGTTACCGCCAATAAACCAGAGAAGGTAGGTCAGATGTCAGAATTCCCACCTTGGGAACCAGCAGTTAGCGTAATGGCTATGTCGCTGGACTCCCATGTAGTCGACCGCGGTTCGTGTCTCGGACCCGGTGGCTTAAAACTCACGCCGGGTGCGTGTGTGTGCATGCCCAAGATCCCGAGAGGAGAATGGAGGAGAAGGGATTGCGGCGTGACCATCCCCCCTGGGGGGTGATTTCTCGCTTTCTGTCTCTATGTCTCTCTCTGTCTGTCTGGCGAGCGCACGCGCCCTACAGTGAAAATCTCTCCAAAAAAAAAAAAAAAGAATTCCCACCTTAACAAATGGTTCTGTGATGCCATATATCTGTGTGTGTGTGTGTGTGTGTACATACATGTGTATAGATATATTTTTTTCTTCTTAACTCCTTATAGGATACACGCACTCTGCAGAGAGAGAAGGAGGCATGGAAAGTGAGAAAACATCCCCCCGCCCCCAGGGATGGCCACACTGCAGTCCTTTCTCTTCCATTTTTCTTTGGGGATTTTGGGCATGCGTGCACATGTGCCTGACATGTTTTTCAAGTGGCCGGGTCTGGGATTTAACTATGCAGTCGGCCATGTGTGGCTGGCCCAGTGGTTCTTTGTCTTTAGTCCCTGTGAGACTGATCACAGCCTTGGATTCCTGTCTTTTCAGAAAAAAAAGCCCAGGCTCACACACCAAGTGTTTCCAGGTGGTTCAGGTTTTATAAGCCTGAGGTTCAAGAACCTCTTGATCCTTGGTACTTGGCAGTATAGCTGAATATTTAAGAGCACACTGGGGACAAGCAGGTGGCATATTTGCTAAGGTGCTGGACTCCCACATGGCCAACTGTGGTTCGAGTCCCAGACCCAATGGCTTGAAGATTATGCTGGTCATGTGTATGTGCATGCTCAAAATGCCGAGAGGAAAATAGAGGAGAAGGGATTGCGGTGTGACCATCCCCCCTGGAGGGTGATTTCTCACTTTCCCTTTGGCTGTCTCTCTATGTCTCTCTGGTGAGCACACATGTCCTATGGCAAAAACCTAAAAAAACAAACCTCTGGATCGGGTGACCTGGGTCCAGATCCTCCAGTCCTTAGCTGTACAAACTTAACAAATTACTTAATGTCTTGGGTCTCAGTTTCTTCAACTGTGAGATGAGGATAATAATAATAATTTAATTACAGGGTTATGAGAATTAAGTCAGTTAGTACTGGGGCCAGCAGGTGGCGTGGTGGTTAAGGGCTCTGAACTCCCACGTGGCCGACTGCAATTCAAATACTGAACCTGGCAGCTTGCTCTTCCCTCTCTCTTTCTCTCTCTCTCTTGCTGTCACTCTCGCTCTCACTCTCAGGTCACAGTAAAATAAATAAATAAATAAAAGTTAAAATACATACTTGTTTTTAGAAAATCAGCTACTACTTGTGGTTTGCGTAGCACGTGGTTAACTGTAGGTAGTGTTCACTGTTGTAGCACTGCTGTCCTTGGGACTTAGCCCATGCGGCTAATGTTTCTGGACAGAATAAATGCGTAATTTCACTACAGATGCCCAGCCAGTGGCAGAACATGCCAACCAGTGCCGCACACGGGCTGCAGTTCTTCCATGCTATTGATCCGAAGGGCCGCCAAGACCCTAGCTGGTCACTTCTGGTTTCATGCGGTAGCATCTGCAATGGCCATATGCTCCTCTGGGACCCTGACACATTTGGGCGGCACCAGTCAGGGATATCAGCTGTAGAGGATGAGAATCATGTAGGCAGTCCAGGTTCTAGATCCCAGAGAATTCTGTGGATGGGTGACAAACAATAACCTTACCCTTGAACCCAGAGATGCCATGGGCTTCCTGCAGGCTTCACAAACAGAGGTCTACAGCCAGAGCGACTCCACCCGCAGCAGGTGCAGAGGACGTCCTGTCAGCAGGGAGCTCGGTGCCTCCTACTTTGCCTGCAGAATCCCCATGTCCTTCTTAGCTGTGTCACTCAGAGGATCTGTGGAGAGCCATCGTGGTGTACATAGAGAGCCATGTGAGGTGCTGGAGAAACCACGGAACCAGAGCCAGAATGGAGCCCACAGACTTGTAGGCAAAAGCACTAAACAGGTAGTGATGTAGTACCGACGTAGTGAGCCGGGGGCTGTGACTGCTCGGATGAGGTGGTACCAACGGCTGCAGAGTTCAGGACCCAGCCGTGCCCGCAAGGTAGACGCCGAGGGTGGTCTGAAGCCATCGGCTTCGATCAGGAAAGTGGTACAATGAGGCTTGCACTTTTTTTTTTAGGTCACCCCAACAGCATGTTAGAAAATGAATCGGAACCAGCAGTTAGCATAATGGCTATGCTGCTGGACTCCCACGTAGTTGACCACAGTTCGCTTCCCGGACCCGGTGGCTTAGAACTCATGCCGGGCGCGTGTGCGTGCGTGCCCAAGATCCCAAGAGGAGAATGGAAGAGAAGGGATTGTGGCGTGGCTATCCCCCCTGGGGGGTGATTTCTCGCTTTCTGTCTCTATGTCTCTGTCTGTTTGGCGAGCTCACGCGCCCTATAGCGAAAACCCTCAGAAAAAAAAAAAAGAAAGAAAATGAATCAGAAACAGGCAAGAATTTATCTGACGGCGTAGTTAGGAGGCTGTTTCAGTAGTCGAGAGGTGAAATAGACACCTGTACTTTTGGGGGAAAGGGAGGACTCCAGGGTACCCCAGCCAATTCTGAGTAGATGAGGTGCTATTCCCAGGACAGGGGATTCTGGAAATAGAACAGTTTGGGGGGCCGGTAGGTACCATGAGTTCTGTTGGGATTCATTTGGTTTGTGATACCCGTGGGATGTTCACTGAGGATGGTCAGCAAGGCCAACAGGATGGGTCTGTGCACTCCAGAGAGGTGCTGGCGTGGGCAGGCAGAACCGGCCTCAGTGGGGCTGGCTGCCCACCTTCAACAGGCTCCTTTCTCAGGGGAATGAGCTTAAAAGAGAGGTCTGATCACTGAATTATTACCTTGTAGCCGGTTTGACTGGCATGCTTCTCTTCTATTGTCAAGTGTTAGAATTCTTAGGTGGGGTGTGTGTGGGTGTGTATGTATATAATTTAGATTTTTGCCATAGGGTGTGGCATTCTCTGGAGACGAAAAACAAAGGCAAAGTGAGAAATCACTCTCCAGGGGGATGGCCATGCTGTAGTCCCTGCTCCATTCTCCCCTAGGGATTTGGGGCACGCATGCACATGCACCCAATGTTTTTTCAAGCTGCCAATCCGGATTTCCAACTGTGGAGTCAGCCCTGTGGGATCCAGCACCTTAACTACCGTGCCACCTGCTGGCCCAGATGTGTACATTTTAAACCCTTTTCATAAAACCACCATAGTTCTCTACATTGAAGACGTCATCTCATTCTTCTCAGCTGGCCGTACTGGCTTCCTCCCTGCATTACCTGCCTGTGGAAGGAAGCTGTGCAGCTCATAATGTGACACTGTTTCCCCAGATTTGTGACCCAGAAGGAAATCTCTGCCCTCAGCTGTGGCTTTCAGTGCTGGCCAGAAGCCAACTTCATGTCTGAGTACACGAGAAACAGTTTGCCATGGAGAGCTTGGGTCTGCAGACGGTGACCCTCAGTGACGGGACGACAGCCTATGTCCAACAGGCTGTCAAAGGTGAGTATTTCTGGAGAACTTTGGCATTCTGCCTTGTTCCTGAGCCTCTGGGAGGCTCGCTACCACCCTGCTCCCACTGGCTCACCCTGCCCGCCACCAAAACTTGGTCTGCATGGGAATCTCATGGGGTACTTTTCTTTTTTTCCCTTTTTTAAGAATTATTTAATTTTTAAAACTTATTTATTTTGACGAGAAAAAAGAGAGGGGGAAAGTGAAAAGGCAAGCCACCATGTCTGGGACTCAAACCATGGTCAGCCATGTGAGAGTCCAGTGCCTTAACCACCACACCACCTGCTGGCTCCTGAAAAGGGAACTCTTTCACATGAAATGTCATCTAGACAAGCTAGGAAATCAGACTGCCCCAAGTAGGGGAACCAAGTCCTCTCAGAGGCAGAATCCCTTACATAGAATGAGCAGTTCATAAATATTTCTGGAATGGGTGAACACAGTCCTGGTTGTAAATTTCTGCTTTTCAAATATCCTCTGATGGCTTTCTCAGTGTTTCCTAGAAGCAGTTTATCTTCTTAATTCATGCAAGTGTAAAAACTCAAACTATCTACTGAGCATCTACCATAAACAAGAAACTCTTCTATCTCAGAGGAGGACCCCCAAGCATAGTTCCCAAGCCTTAGTGCCCACTAAGGGGTACCAGAAATGAAAATTCAGGACACGTCATAATATTTCAATTGCAAGCAGAGAAACCAATGCTTTTGTAGTATAGATAAATTTCGAATATTGCCCCGAATAGGCTTGTATAAATGTAAGGTTGAATACTAAAAATATTTATAGGGGCCGGTAGGTGATGGTGGTTAAGGTGCTGGACTCCCACATGGCTGACCACAGTTCGAGTCCTGGACCTGGTGGCTTACTTGCTCACTTTCCCCTCTTTTCACGCTCTCTCTCTGTCTCTTTGGTCAAATTAAAAAATAATAACAAAATTAAAGAAATAATTAAAAACGTATATATGTACACATTAAAGTAATAAGTACTAAAAGAATTTGTCATGTGTCTGAAATTCAGATTTCCCTGGGCTTCTTGTATTATATCTGGCAAGCCTACCTCCTCTCAGAAGACTTGAAATGAAGGGACGTATGGAACCCAGAGAGAGTACTGTTGAAGACAAGGCCAGCAAGCCAGGGACACTGCTTTCTTGCCATCATTCTCAGGCATTCCCGAGGCACTCCTGTCCTCCTTGGACAGCACTGAGCAAGCATCACCTCATCATATTCCTGTTTACCTGTTTGTCTTGTAATTTTGCTATAGGGGGTGTGTACTTGCCATAGAGACATCTCCCAGGGGATGGCCATGCCACAACCCTTTCTCCTGGGGATTTTTGGACCCACGTGCATACACGCCTGGCATGTATTCAGGCCACCAGGTCTGGAACTTGGATTGCATAGTTGGCCATGTGGGATCCAGCCACTTTAACCACCCTGCTACCCCAGTTGGCCCCATGTCTCATCATACTCTTTTTTTTTTCTAAGAGTTATGTTATTTAATTGTATTTATATATATATTTTTTTTTTTTGAGAGGTTTTTGCTGTAGGGCGTGTGCCCCCGCCAGAAGGGAGAGAGAGACAGAGAGACAGAAAGCGAGAAATCACCCCCCAGGGGGGATGGCCATGCTGCAATCCCTTCTCTTCCATTCTCTCGGGATCTTGGGCATGAACGCGCACCGGCATGAGTTTAAGCCACCAGGTCCAGGACTCGAACCGCAGTCGACTACATGGGAGTTCAGCAACATAGCCGTTACTCTAACTGCTGGTCCCAATATTTTTATTATTTTTTAAGAGAGATTTTTGCTATAGGGGGTGTGTACTCACCAGAGAGACAGAAAGTAAGAAATCAGCCCCTGGGGGGACAACCATGCTGCGGTCCCTTCTCTTTCATTCTCCTATCAGGACTCTAGGCACACACGCATATATACCCAGCATGAGTTTTAAGTCAGTGGCCCAAGACTCGAACCATGGTTGACTACATGGGGGTCCAGAAAAATAACCATCATGCCACCTGTTGGTCCCTATTATTATTATTTTTTTTTAATTTGACGAGAGAGAGAGAGGGAAAGCTGCCAGGCCTATGATCGGCCATGTTGGGAGTCTAGCGCCTTGACCACCATACCATCTGCCGGTCCCTCATCATACTCTATTTTGCCTTTTCTGGACCCTGAGTGTCACTATTGTCATAATCACATTGTCATTGCAATATTGCCCTCTTCATTTCAACACACTGTCAAACAATATTTCTGTACCTAGGTTTACAGACAAGTTGTTTATTGATTTCATTCAGAATTGTCTGTTTCCCGATGATAACTAGAGAGGGCCTTTAATCTTATCAGTGAATTCTTTCTATATGGCAGTGTGTGGGGTGCTTTCTGGAGAGGTTTTTTTTTTGTCAGGAGCTCTCTAAGACGTGTGGGTTCTTGCTGGCTTCATTCCCTTGAGACTAGAACTTCTCTGGAATACTTTTGAAGCCTTCGGTCTGCAGACTTCCCACCACAGATTGGCCCCCTGGGTACAGTCTCGGTGGAGTAGAACTTAGGAATTCTCGATGGCCGTGTTTGGACCCAGTTAGTTCCCATGCCTCAACCTTCCACTCAGAGTGAATAATTGAATGAATAAACGAATGAATAAAAAGTAACCAGGGCCAGCAGGTGGTATGGTGGCCAAAGTGTTAGATCCCACATGACCAATTCTGTAGTTCAAGTCCTATATCTGGTGGCCTGAAAAACACACCAGGTACACATGCGTGCGCCCAAAATCCCAAGAGAAGAATGGCGGAGAGGAATTGCAGTGTGGCCATATCTCCAGAGGGGTCCTTTCTTAATCCCCTCCCTCTTATCCCCCAGAGACGGCATGTGCTCTGTGGCAAAAAATCTAAAAAAATAAATAAATAACACGCTCTTTCTCTGTCTCTCTGATGAGTGCATGTGCCCTACGGCAAAAACAAAATAGTGAGCAACCTGAGAAATTCTGCTCTTGTCACCCATCTTCCTTCTTGCGTCTTGGCCTCTCCCTCCCTCAGCTCCCCATTTCTCTCTTGTTACTCTTTCTGGCTCTGTTCTCTGCCTCCTCTGTCGCACTGCAGAACGCACTTGCACACATACACTCACAGTCACGACACACATCCCACTGGCCAGGGGAGAGCTGTCCCTCAGAGACAGAACCAGGCTGTCCTGAAGGCTGTGACTGGCGAGCTCCTCCAAAGCTTTTGGCCAAGGCAGTCCGTCTCTGTCAGCACACAGCTGGCTGGGCCCTGCTTAGCCAGCAGGAAGCCCTAACATTTTAGAGACTTATCTATGGTTAGGGCGAACGTAACATGAATTTCTCAAACCTGGCACTTCTGAGAGTGGAAAAGTGTGCTGTTAATGAATGTACTGAATATACTGGAAGCTGGGTGCAGTGGTGTGCGCCTGTAACCCTAGCTGCGTGGGAGGCTAAGGCAGGGGGATTCGAGTTCAAGGCCAGCCTGGGCACCATAGCGAGACCCTTGGAAAAACTAAAATTAAAAAATGAATGCACTGGGACTTTTCCAGGCAAATGAAGACATATAGTTACCACTCTATAAAGGGTTATAAAGCCCTTTAATCAGATATTCTCTCCACCTGCCTCTCCCCACGGTAGTCTCTAGTTAGTAGAATTTATAGGCTACAATTTTTCCTCAAACAGCTCTTCTCTCCGTTTTGTTTCCTGCCTTGAAGCAGGACCCACTCCGCTAGAGCAGCTCTGCTAATGCGCCCAGAGCCCAAGTACTGATGCCCTTGCCAGGACAGAGTGTTCAGATGAGGGCAGCACTGAGAGGTGAGAGGGAAGTATTGGGTCCCTCTGCTCTCACCTCAACACCTCTGCTACCTTTTCTACTTCTTACCTTTGTCTGCACCTCATGTGCCTTCGGCTAGGCTGTAGGACTATGATTTAGGGTCTTACTGACCCTAGGAAGACTCAGTTTGGGGACAAGAATGCAAATCTGAACAGGATATATTAGCAGAGAGCTGGATTCGAAGTAGCTGCCTGACCCTTTTCTCACATCATAAAAGCTCAGATACCTAACCCGAAGCTGCTAAAGAAAGGGACAAACATGGGACCAGCAGATGGTGTAATGGTATGTCCCTGGGCTCCCACATAGTCGACCACAGTTCGAGCCCCCGACCCAACAGCTTAAAACTCACTCCAGGTGTGTGTGCACGCATGCCCCAAATCCTGAGAGATGAATGGAGGAGAAGAAATTGTGGTGTGGCCACCCTCCCAGGGGGTGATTTCTTGCTTGCTTCTCTGGGTAGCGAGCACACACACACCCTGTAGCAAAAATCTCTCAAAAAAGAAAGGAACAAACAAATCGCTTGTCATTAACCCTTTAACCTCCCTTTCTTTCCTTTTCTTTTTTCCCTCTTTCCCCCTCTCTTAGACTCAGTAGACCCAGGGGGAGACGGTCCAATTCTAATTCCAAGAGCCTTTTATTTATTTTTAATTGATTTGTATTTTCCATGAGTGATAGAGCACTGCCCACAGGGTCTTGACACAGCTGTCCACCCCAGCCTTCAGCCAGCCCTGGATCCGGGACACATGTGCGTCCAGAATACTTGGGATGACTGAATTTGAACCAGGTGCTAACCTTTCCATGTGAAATTGCCTTGCAGAGCTTTGTATTTTACCACTGTGCTACTGTCTAGCCTCTCATCTCTCATGAGCCTTTTAGAAGATGAAGGAGGGGCCGGCAGGTGGCGTGGTGGTTAAGGGCACTGGATTCCCACATGGCCGACTGCAATTTGAGTCCCAGACCTGGAAGCTTGCTTTCTCACTTTCCCTCTCTCTCTCTCTCTCTGTTCCTCGCTGGTCAACTGAAAACAAACTAAATAAATAAGTAAAATAATTCTTTTTTTTTTAAAAAAAAAGAAGAAGATAAAGGAGGGTTGGGGGCCAGCAGGTGGCATGGTGGTTAAGGCACTGGACACTCCCAAATGGCCAACCACATTCGAGTTCCAGACCTGGTGGCTTGCTTACTCACTTTCCTTCTCTCTCTGTGTCTTTCTCTGGTCAAATTAAAATAAATGAATGAATACCTAAAATTAAATAAATAATTCTTTAAAAAAAAAAAAAAA